TTAAACTAATCCTGAGTTTGGGAAAGCAAAGGCTTTTTGCACTCAATTACTAAGTGTGGGTTATCCGATAGATTCAGTTGCTTTCCCTACTTAACATTTCACTCTAATATATAACAAAAATGACAAGTTTTTTCCTGTACTCTTCCCCCATGAGATATTTTCATCCTTATAGAGCAGACTGTATCTGACGTTCGAACAATTAAGTTCCTTAATAAGTAGGTTGTATATATAACTATGTCTACAGATAGAACAACTTCATAAGTGGAAATCGTAAGACTTATTAAAAGTAAATGATGTAACGGAATATCCATCCATGCAAATAAAAATAGACTTGGTCGAACAATACGTATAACCAGATAGTGATTCAGTTACTGATATAAATATTAAACAGATAAGTAATAAAGAGTAACAGGACTCTACATAGAAGGTTTCGTTAATCCTGTTGACAAAATTAGTTACAGAAGTACAGAAGACAAAATCATAATATTCGTGTACATGAACTGTACCAATACAGCAGTGCATCCAAACATATCTAGTCAAACAAAGAGGAAACATTTTGCACAGAAGAGAAATTAAAGAGACTCGCGAACTCTTGAATACCGGCTGTACATGAACTTTTTTATTAAAGAAGATAAACATGGTATAATTCTCATCTATACTTTGTTCTTGTCCATAAATGTCTGCAGATAGATCGCTTGATTGCTTTTCCTTACTTATGAACAGTGTTTTTTTTAATGGTATGAATGATTTAATTATAGTAGCAGTCAAACAGTAAATGAAATGATCTACACTTTCACTAACTGAATTAAGATGAAGTAAATCTCTTAGAGGTGTTCAACTTTTAAAATGGATCTCCTCAGCAAAATATACAGATTTAACAGTATTCAGCTTATCTGCCTGACTCTGTGCCCGAATTACTGGTAGACTCACGAGAAAATTATTTTTACAGCACTACTTTTTGTCCAGTAAGTGATGACTGTGTATTGAAGTCACTAATCCATGATTTTGTATGCGTAGTGTCTGACGACAAACCGTGAACAAGTATCAGTTTTGCAGTTGGGGCAATTCTTCAGTTGTTACCGTCACTGGTAGCATAAACATTAGCTAATCCTTCAATCAGTACAACTATCTCATCGATAGAGGTACCAATCTACTCACCATAATTTTACCTTGGATTTGCAATTTATACAACTGTAATTAGGACAATTACAAGTATTTTCTTCAGTCAACTCAGTTCAGTTGAGTAAATAGGATTTCATTTTCTGTATTTTGTTTCTTCAGTGTTGTCTAAGAGTCTGTCAAACATACTTTTAATCTGGTCACATTTGTTAAGATATATCACTTGCCCAGTTCGATTGATCCACTAAAATGTGAAAACTTTTTACCGATACCTATTTTGTCCAGTAGTTTACGTTGATTTGTCTTTATGTTTATCTATCCGTTTGACAACCTAAGATCATCAGTATTTGGTCTTTAAATTCACTTAGTTTCATTCCTTTCATCAAATTGTGCATAACCACCTAAATAGCCAAGTTTCAAAACAGAAACATAATCTCGGAGTTTGTTAGGCTGTCATTTATAGGCACACAGGTGTAATGATACAGACAAATATTGACATATATAATACACCATTAGCCGCATTCACCAGCATGTGAACCACTGTTTCAACGCTTATGATTCTAGTAAATTAAAAATCCCCATAGTGTAATCAGAACAAGATCATTTTGTAAATATAGATACTAGTGTCAAAGTTAACTTGAACAGTTCAGCCGAATGTTGTTAATTAAGAAACAGTAACTTACTACAACAAATCTACAGTTTGAAAGTTAAATCTTGCTAAACAAAATTAGTTTTTCAAATGAATACAAACATAGTTAACTCTGACTGCTCAGATTCTTTTCAAAACTGTATCTACCATCACTAGAGTGTTCGTTTGTTTAATTTAGTCATAGAACTTTGCATTTTTTCTAATCAGTTTTACAAAATAATTCGTGAATTGAAAAAGTAATCATTTTGGATTAGAATAAATACTATTTAGACAGTGTTACTTTAAAAAATAAATTATACTCCACCTTCTTGAGAGATTTTAGTTCTTGGTGGTCTAGCCGAAAAAAGAAGCCTATAACTCTGATTACTTCCTGGGCATCTAAACAAGTGTCCACAATACACTGGACTGTATTATTCAGAACTCAAAGATGAATCAATTCAATCACTAAATAAAAGCATCCCAGACGGAATTATGTATATCTGACGATTAAGCAATAGTGGGCTGTATGTTTGGTAGAATTACTGAACAACTACGTGCAGAAGCCTATTGGTACACTTACAGAAAACATTTTTAAGAGGTGAATGATAACTGGGAAACCGATCACATAGCAGAGTGTCATGAAACTCAAGCATTTTAGTATTCCTATCAGTAACGTGAATTTCAGGCAGGAAACAACTTGCTAACTGTACAGACTACACTAATATTCCTCCACCTAAAGTTTCTTTCCAAATGGATATTTCGTCTAGGAGTTCAAAATAGAGTCAAATAACTTAAGAAAGTAATTCAAACAGATCTGTCACGAACAAAATTAGAAACGCGTAAAATAAATGCCTACTGTTTAAAACATTCTCACCTAACTTTCGCTTTTATTCGAGTACCGTACAAATACTGGTGTTGTACATGTATAATTGTATTTATTGGACTGAACTATCATTTTCTGTCACATCATCTTGATACTTAGTACTGAACAATTCAAAGACAAGTTATCATAAAAAATTTTAACGATAAGTGACAGGATGTTCGAAGTCATAGAAAGAGATCAGAAAAATATTAAAAATTGTCTTTCTTGCCTAAAACACTTCAACAATCAGACACACTAGTTTATCACTAATTTTTCTTATGGGTATATGTGCTTAAATCCTTGTCAGTAGCGATTAGCACCGAATAGGAAATACAGCTTGCTGTAACAACAGTAGTAAATATCTTACGCTAGAATAAACAGACACCCAGCTAGTTGGATTAAATAAAGGGATGCAAACTGTTTGGTAACATTTCCAAATAAAACGTCTTTCATTCAGAAAAATATCCAAACTCAAACTTTGCAGTGAAGCGTGGATAACATTAGGAAGCTGTCGGCGTCTGAGTACCGACACTTGCGAGATATAGACTGAGTGTGATATAAATGTAAAATAAGTTCAGTAATGAAATCACCATGGTAATGAATCAATCTTGCATAACATATTCAAAGACTCTTGTGTAAAACATACTGTAATTTTATCTGCATATCAAAGGTGAATTTGTACTGTGAAAATAGAAAGCTATACATATAATTATACTGACAATTTAGTGCCTAGATTTCTAAGATGCGTAAAACACTTGCTCTCGTACAAAATTACATTACAGATTCACATAAACCTAAAATCGAATTAATGGTTGTTAAAAACAACTTAAAGCTCGGTACAAAATGAAGCTGATTTGATATGGAACATTTCTTGACACTTCATAGGTGTGATGATGACTGAAAAAAAGGAAAACTTGAGTCACAAACGCACTTCCTATTTAGTGAAGGCTAAATGAATTTGCCATCAGTTATTGTGTATGCTAACTGACATTTTACTGTTTTAGCTAATAAGCCTGAGTTGTCATCAGAAACTGGTCTCTAACATTGACGTGATTGCCATAAAGCGTTTTCAAGAGAAATAACCTTGTTAGCTAATACAAATAATCTAGACAGATGATGATCAAAAACGTTTGTCGACTGAAAGACTATGGTGACTGACTGACCACAGAGACTGTGTGAGCTTGAGACATTATGAACAACTTTGAACCATTTCACCAGCAGTTTGCAATCACTAATTTTCAGCATCCTGTGAAAATCAATCATGCAACCTACAACTCCCTCCATGGATCACAACAACAGTGATGGATTGGTTCCATCTACTTCTGTCTGATCCAAAATGGACTAACATTACTAGGTATGAATGGCATAAATCCTAGCCGCCACAATAGACGGAGATTCAGAAATGCATCAATTGGCTTTCATCCCTATTTAACTCTGTACACCTAACGTATTTATTAGTGACCATGTTGCTCCACATAACGCGGAATATTGGACGAAGTCATCTATGGCTGAAAACCGCTAACCATTCTATATTTTTCTACTTCCAGTGACTGTCTTACAGCTGTGAAGTAAAATGAAGCGAACTGCCGCATAGTTAATACATGATTTGATTGATAGCCGAATAACACGTCTGTTACGAAGATGACAGACGGCTAAAAATGCCCATTGAGCATTTGTTTCCATGATGAGATATCATAGGCAACTAGTCCGCTAGAGTTTAAGTACTGTTTCGAGGAATTTAGGTTGTTAGTACTCTCAGTGATAGCTGCACCTTAACTGAGAGTGAAAGCAAACCAGTTCTGAAGCAGGGATCAATAGCAGGAGAAACGTACGCAGATTTTCGCTCATGTCGTAAAAAAGACTGTTCCTTTTTCAACGTCTTCGACTAGCAGGAACATACTTTGGACCAACAAGTATTTTCTGCTACAGCAATTCAATCTCTGAGACATTAAAGTTACCCAGAGTCAAATTCACTAGAAGGCTGTTGATGAAATTAAATAAGAATACTAACTGTAGGGATCCTTGACAAATACTACTGGCTGTGGTCACCTAAGATGACAACATCCAATAAGCTGACGATGATGTATGTCTGCCTTGACTAGTACAGTACACCCTATCGGTAATCTCTTTATAACAAAACACTGAGATTATAAGAATAATGAAGAAATAACCAGACATAATAACTTGCGTCATATAACATTCAGGTGCGAATAAAAACAACAATTTAAAGTCGAAGTAAGAAATTTAACAAAAACGTCAAGTGTTTCAGTCATTAAAATATTCACCACTGACTGTCATATTATTTCCTCAGCGGAAAGGATAACGAAGAGTAATGCATTTCTGAAAAATTTCAGCAAAGTACATGTCTGAATATTGTTTGTTGTTACTTACTTCTTTCACCACTTCCTTCAAAGCTGTTTGTTTAAGCTGAATAGGTTGACCACTGAATATATTACCTAAACCTATACCACAAACGGGTTTAGGTTTTGTAAGTGAGCCAGGTTGATTAGTGTTTTCGTATTCACCGGACGATATATTGTTCACTTCACTTTCTGAAGGCTCCTTCTGAGAATCAGTAGTCACCATCGGCTGAAAAGAAACCGTTATCAGAATAGATTATGAAAAGTTTCAGGAAGTGCTTTACTGGAAATATAGTCGTTATTTAACAGTGGAGACTAACATGAAGAGTGTTTCTCAATTTGGCTGAGAATGAAGTGAAAAGAATTATTGTCCTGGTACTTAATCCTGTTGTATGTCTCTTTATCTTCTTATACTGTTTATTTAGGTTGGGATGTCACTGGTGCCAGGTTGACTAGTCATTAATTCATTCTTCCTCATATATATATAAGCCGTTATCAGATGTGTTTCAGGAAACAGACGGAACAGCATTCTTATAGACAAATCCTTTTGGACTATATATGTGGAATAAACTTGATACGTTTCTTAAGTTTTCTGTGTTTTTTAAACCACTTTACCCTTGTTAAGTGGACAGTCAGCTACATTTCTTCACATAGAATAACATTTTTCACCTTACCAAATTTCAAACTCTTACTTCGATTGTGTGATTTTTCAGATTTAGAAACCAATTCTTAGTCATTGCATAAATTATGCTGCCCCTCGGTAACTCAGTAATAGATTACTATACGTTTTCGGTAAATACTTCTTATATTCTTACTCACTGACCATACCATTAAATGTTATGCATGAAACAGTTTCTTCTTTCATTCAGGATGTTCATGTATCTTTTGCTTTTGATGATTTCTGAAACCACTTTTCAGAGTAATGACTGCATATTCAAATCAGTTATACCGTAAACATATAAGATTGTGCCTTAAAATGATACTTTCAGACGTGAATTAAATTTTCTTTTGATTGTGTCCTTACTGTCAATGTGCTCTAATGTAGTTCACCAATTCATTTTAGCCAATTCATAAAATCTAAAAATCCTGAATGACTTTTGGACATATATTAAACAAGCATGCCTTACAACTTAGTATTTCATAAACAAAATAACACATGTACATAAACGGTTGCATAGTAGCTATAAACGAGTGAACCCCATCATTATTTATCGTTATAAACTATGTTTATCAGAATTATTCTTATTAAATAAACTGCTTATAAATTAAGTTTGTCTGCTCCGTTTCAAAGGCTGAAAATTCCCATCGAGTCGTAAAGAAAATAAAAGACCAACGTCGAGTGGATACTCCACTACCTTACTTACCATTAAATAACAATTTCCACCTTACCAAATTTCAAACCCTTATTTCCATTGTCATTAAATATTGCACATTTTTTATATCTTTAGAAACCACTGTAGTCAGTGTATAAACTGTGTCACCCCAACTCTTTTTATTACTCGATATAAGAAGTAGTTTTGTCATTGGAATTTCTGAATCAATTAAAGAAGATAAATTTGGAAAATACCACAGGAGTCTTTACAGTACATGTAACGTAAAATAATTTCAGGAGAAACGCTATTGTACTTCAATTTCCAATTAAACATCGTCAATTGGTAGCCTAATACCTCAACGTAGTTTGTATATTACTATCTCCTGAATGAATTGAATGTGATAGCTAAAGGAAACTTGATTATTGTTTAAACTTGCCAAATAAAGAACTTCCAGATTGTCGAAAGCAGATATAAGAGTATCATAAGTGTCAAGGATAAACAGCTATTTAAGGAAGGTTAATCATTTGAAGGACTGGTAAACTAATATGTATATCCTCTGTGTCAACTTAATTAAATTTCAATTCATGAATACCAAAAAAGAAAGGTTTCAGAAAATCAGTTTTAATTCCCTTGTATGGCTAAATTTCAAATGTATTTACAACTGGGAGATATCTTAAAATGAAGTCAACTTCACACATCAGTTGAAAATTACTGCCATTACTCCTCATGAAACTTATAGGGACAGCTATTTCCTCCGACAGTCTCTTGCTAATAGCTCTGATGTCAAGGCTGAGCTCACGGCAAATCGTAAATTAGTTGATAAAAGTTATCACCAAGGTAACTGGGTCGCCTACCTCCAACTGTACATAAAATTACTTCAGTGTCTTAACAAAATGAAAATTGAATTCAGTTATCATTAATTTTGAATGACTATTACAGAATAATCTTCAAATGCAATATTTCGCAGCTTAAATTGCATAAACCTAGAAGATAAGTACGTATATAAGAAACATTTAAACTGAAAGTATGAAAAAAAACTTTTGATTGTCATTACCCCTGGATACGCAGTTTGAAACGGTTGGTACAGTTATGCAAAGTACATCTTGTTCATCTAAAGCGATTCTTATTAACAGTCTATCTAAGCTATCTGTAATCTATTAGTAGTGTGCTTTTGATCAAAATCCGACTTATTGAATGAGCAGCACAGAAGTTTACATGAAAATAAATCAGAGTAATTATTCTAGTGTTCTATTAACAAAAATATTGGCAGTTTAACGAACAACAATAAATCATGTCTGACTGGAAAAATGTACACTTTAATGTAAAATGAAGAAGACAGTTTTGACTTTTTTTATAGCACGGTATCGTTCTCGGATGTCTACATTATACAGAATGCGGGTTAGTTCAAATAATAGTAACCAGTATCTCAGACAGGTTTTTGAACTAAGTTTATGAATCGAAAAAAGGTTATGCCATGAATTTATAGATGGCTGAAAGAGACATACTAGATAACTGAAACTTACGTGAAGTGTAAAATATATTCTTTACACCGTAAAAATGTGAAATGAGACTTTCAAACTTTTTGAAGATAGTTACTTCAATACTAAGAGGAGAGGTGATTTTTGATTGACTAAATTTTGAGTATAACAGCGTTTGAAATGTATCTTGTAAGTCATATTAAATGCATTTTTAAAATTAAAATCCGAAGACACAAAAGCCACAATAAAGAAAATCCAAAATCTGTTACTCCTTGTGCGTTTGATCCTCGATGGGATCATGGGTGCGTACTGCCAAAAAGTCTCAAACTTCATAGTTTTCAACGGTTCTCTAACTGATATCGATCCGTGATTAAAGTCCGATAAAGTAACACTTAATTATTGCATATGTTAAGTTGGTGCAAATATTAACCGATAACTGACATTCAAACAAGTTTACTTTAATTTGTATACTATTTGATAGTTAATAAAATCTTAATAATTCTTCTGAACAAGCTATGGCTTACATAGCGAACGGTTAAGAAAAATATTGCTTTCATTTTTTAAACTTGCTGGAGTTATTTTAAATAATTCTACAGTATGACCTGTACTGCAATCTGAATTCACAGACACAGTGGAACCGTTCACAAAAAAAACTTTACTGTTACATATGAAAAGTCAGAATTAGTGAGAGGAATTTGGCATTTATTTTATTTTTCAGCTAATCGGTTCGAAATCATAAAGTGAACAAATTTAATACACAGAAAATAATCTAGAAAAGTTTGACATAGACTTCAACATATTCTTGTTTTTAGAATATATCATTTAATTATACTTCATAAATATGTTTACGCAGCAAAATAACTGTATATCAGAATAAGTACTTCCATTGCTGATTGCTGTCCCAGTTAAATACAGCTAATACTGTAATTCGTCCTGGTCCCATTCTCAGAATTCACTACTCAACATATGTCTGTCTGATGCATGGTTGAAAAGAAGCATAAAGGCCAAATGAAGATGAATAAACCCGCAGCATACTTGCTTACTTATGATACGAAAAATCTTCCTTCTAAAACAATAGTTTACAGATTATTTTTTATGATATTATTGGCTTTGATATTCCTGTTCTATTCCTGTTTCAGTCTAAATACATTACGACGAGAAAACTAGAATGGAGATCAGTGATTATTGATTGATTAAAATATGACTAGAGCCAGTTAGTCAAAAGCTGTGATTTTGATAGCTTTTAGATGCTGAAAGCCTAATTGAAAATGTTCACAGTTATTGTATTAAAATTTGTATAGTTGAATTAAAAGCTGTCTATTATGCACTAAGCTATTGAAGTTATTCATAAGGAAGCTCCTTAGCACACAGGTGTGCTAACATCATACGATTCGCCTCCCTCTTATACATCCCTCATTTGTGCAGTGTAACAGACAATCCCAGTCATGAGATATTATGGTATGCTTTTTTCTCTCCATCTTTTAAATCAGTTATCACATCCTGGTGATATCCTTGCGATCATTCTGAAAATTTTCAGACAAACTACTCCTTAATAATATTCCGTGACATATGTAATCGTGATTTATAGCCTTTTCACTTAGTATTTTTCCTATGGAAATATGTTACACCTATTTGGGAGAGAATAATTCTTATGGAAAGTATTTTTCCTTCACAAAAAATTCAACGAGAATTGAATTCTGAATTCAGTGATTACTGTATTAGTCTAGATGTTATCAGAGTATCATACGGGTATTTATCCTGCCTAATAAATTGTTACACTGCAATCATAGAATTCCACACTTCAATCACTCCTGCAGAGTAAGACATAATACTACTGGCCGTCTGGAGACTGCTTCACTTAAAAGGTTATTACATTAACTATATTTAAAATATGTGTGCATCGCAGATACCGAAGGATATATGAAATAACCCTATCATCTTAAAGACTCATTTGTTACTGGTGATGTCCCGGAAAATAAACATTTGGACTAAGCATAATACTTTTTCAATCTACATACACACTTTGATTTAAAATACATTAGGCTTTGCCAATCTCGTACATAGTGAGGACGTTCCATGTCCCCTCACAGACTTTTTCTTTTGGTGCAAAGAGATTCATCGTGCTGAAGTTTCTTTAGCAACTTTGTTTACAGGGTGGGGTTGCTAGCCTCACGCCTATAATAATAATAATAGGCGAAAGTTTATGTTAAATTCACACAGCGCACAATAAGACGATATTTTCTTGTTGGAAAACTTTTCAAGTACAATTTATATCGAGATTCAATAATGCTCCTAAATCCTACTACAGTCCACAGACTTTACACTCAAGTGGAAATATTCCTAACCATCACCTGCGAAATTCTAACGGTAACTTTTCTTAAAGTGTAACATAGGCAGCCCTAGAATTAATTTCCCCTAAAGGTTCCAAATAAATTGCGTACGAAAGTTGGCATACTTCAAGATATGAAAATGTGTAGTTATCGTCACAGGATTATTATACGAGTATAAGAACAAAACTTGGCAGTGTGGTAGAGTATAACTCCATCATAGAATTAATTTATTTGAAAAAATCACAGTTTTATATAGTATTATTTTCTGATGACGTTTTGAGAACAATTTATTGCTCATAATCATATCAAGGCTGGAAACTTCATTATGAAACGATACCGTACATCACTGTGATTCTATCAAATAAATTTACTCTATGATGGGATTGTTATGTGAAATATATTTCAGCCTTGTATGACAGTAAATTTCTGGACATCACGAACCACATGATATGTAGTCCCATGCTTTTCTCCACAGGACGAACCAATATCAAACCTAACAACCCAGTAACGACCTGGCGACCAAGGTGGAGGAATAATACAATAACACTTCACGTTTACATCCTTAAAAATTCAAAAACGATTCTTTTAAGCATGCTATCTAATGTAAATGTTTGAATTCAAAAGACGGTAGAGACTTCTGATATTTACAAACATTTCGACTGAGCATCATATAAAATGTATATGAAATACTTATATTTCCCCGACAGATAACGAGGACTTCGAAACTGTTCAAGACTGAGCTCCGGAATTTTCTGTATCTTCAGAAAATATTTATGTTCAGTAGTAAATCATAATTTGTGACTAGCATTTTACTAGGACTCTACCAGTTTCGGTAATTCACATATGCAAGCCCCTTAGGTTAATTTACTTGAATAAATAAAACTACAGTATGCTTGCATACACTTATATTGGTTATTCTTGTTGAACTTGAGAAAAAATCCAATGACAATTGATAATAATTACACTAATGGGAGTATTAGTTACAGATAGTAGTGTATACTGAAATCATAATATGCAGTATAAGACAAATTCGGCTGAATTACTACATCGGATAAGCTGAAAATTTGTGTCATTAGATAGGTTTAACTAAAATAAATTTTTCGTCACAAGATATTTTGTTTATTTTCCAAATAAAACTTGTAACACGTGAGTTTATAAATAAAAGGCCCGATATCAGCTATTCGGTTTGAGACCTCTGAAAGAGTACTTAGATTCGTTCCACCTATTTTAGCCTGAGTGGATATTCAATGTCATTTAGCTTCACAACATAGTTTATCCAGTGTAAACACTTCGGTGCAGTATGACTTTTATGGTTATCACTTTGATATCTAGAAATGTAACATTCTTGCAGTTCATTAAATATCTGTTAACTACACCGTTAGGTACGCTGCTAATTCATACAAAACCTCAGAGGTGGAAGTTACCGATTTACATCACACATGCTATGCAGCCAGACGGATAACAGGTAGTTTTGAGCAAAAGGCTGTCAGACAGTAATTACGTAGTCTCGAAACAGTAATATGTGCTCATAATACCATTTTATTCCTATAGTATGAAGAAAACAGTAATACTAGAAAAGGCTTTCTAGTTTGCTATATTTGTTTTTAAATACACTTACACTCATTGGAGAAGGACAAGTACCCAAAAACAGTGAATATTTTTTTCGTAAACCGTAATGTAAAATATGCTATTGAATAGAATATTCAGAGTAATTTTCCACTTTTAAATGAAGATATAATACTTTTTGATTTGAAACTTATTGCTACTTTGCTATCTGACATGTTTTGACTAGGTTTTTCTGGACTTACCCTAAATATATTTATGACTACAAATGATGACTATTTCCTCGGAGTTCAACTTAGCAATGACTTCGGTTAGTTGTTAAGATCAAAGCCTTCCACAGTATATATATATATATATATATATATATATATATATATGAAATTGAAATTTCTCATCACTTTACTATATGTGCATGGTCCGTACAGTTTCTGAAAACGTCAAAACACAGAGCATAAGAGAATCTTTTAACTGGAATGATGCTGTTACTTTCATACACATATTTCAAACCCTTTAGTAAAATTAGTGATAGTATTTGGGGAACATCAGCACTTGTAGTTCATATCATTTATCATCCTTTGTGTCTAAAACAGTCTCTGGTTGCTAAGAAAATAGTTCATAAAGCCAAAATTAAACATTAATTCTTAACGGTCCTAAGCTTTACCCGTAAAACTAAATCTTAACACCCTTAATTCATGAAGTATGAGACACTTCTCCGACTTTACTACTGAAAACTGCTCTTGGATCAATTCTTCAATAAACTAAGATGAGTTAGTACTTCACAAGTGAAGCCAAAAGCATCAACACAATCAACATATTTCACCTGAGAAATGTAAGGATATCTAACTACATGATCTCACAATACAATTGATGTACATACCATGAGTTTTTGATGGTATTAAAAGACAATTCTTAGATACTTAGTAGTGTCTGTGATAAAATACCAGGATATTCTAGGGACAAAGAGAATAGCTGGAAATTAAGGAACTCCAAGTGCAGGAAGTATTGGCATAAGTACATAATAAAGGTCAAGCAAAAAGTTAAAAAATAACATATGAGATATAGCAGATGGTGGAACGACTTTCAGTGCATGCAAATGCCTGAACAATACAGTACATATACATAATAATTTATTTGGGTCCGTTTGGAAGACTTCAACTACCCAATAGCCATATTATTGTTAACCTGTAAGTTCTGAAGACTGGAAATTTAGCTTCACTGGTAACAGAGAAACAGAGTATGTGATGAATTTCACAAAGGGGCATCTCACACAGTTCATTCGATTTATCTCTCTTCGGAGTAACTAACAGTGATCTATATTACAGAGGAGAACGCAACATACTAAAAATCCTGCACTTAAATAAACCTTACAACAGCACTTTCAATGTTGCTTAGACTCAAAAATTTTCACTCAGCTATTATTAAAAAAGTAGTAGAGATAAAACAATTTTTAAAAACGAGTTTACTGAGTCTCTGAGTGGTACAAAACAATGACAGGCACACCTTAGACTGATGGATGTTTTCAAGCAATTCTGCTGGACTCAAATAAATCAAAATATAGGATGGTTAATACTGAGCAGGACAAAATGATTGTATATACATTATTGTATCACATTATTATTATGTACAAGTAGTCATGATCTTTGTGAAATCGCATCAAGAAACCAACTGGTTACTGAATTCAATGAATAAACCTATAGTAGATCACCATTAAGAAATGTTATGCGAATATTTGGAAATTGGACAAAGTATAACTTACTGATATTTTTGGCTGAATCGACGGTTTGATCTGAAAGCATTATTGAGATAAAAAAATGTTTTACCTTAACAAAGTTATCCGGAAAAACTCCTATACGACCGTTCAAAGAACCAATATACCATCCTTCTTCAAACTGAGAAACGTCCTTTATAATATCCCCTTTCTTAATGGTGAGTTCATCGCTCTCCTCTGCCGTATAATCGTACTCGACTATAACCTCCATCTCCCACAAAGGCTTGATTTTAACAGTTAAAAATTAACAAATGTGAAATGTCTTCAAGTATTTATCCCAAACACCACAATATCTGACTTTACTGCTAGAGAAATTACACTTTAAAAAGCATAAGTATTATTTTCAAAAACATCTTAATGGCAAAATAGATACTCATGGTTGGAAATGAGAAATGAATACATTAAAATAATAAACTCACGCCGTATCGAGTGACAACAAAGTTTTGTGATAGGCGGTATTTATACACACCCAGTAAAAGAAAAGTTAAATTTTATTCTCTTCTAATATGTAAACTCAACATTATTTACACAGATATGCTATTTCTGACAAACATCAGGCTCTTCGAAAGTCATAGGTCTTCAAAAAATTTCATCAAACTGCCAAAACTTGGCAAAGATAGTAAGAAGGACACACCAGTCCTACTGACTGGAAATGCCAATTTTCACAAGGTGAAGATTCACAACGTTGCACCCACATTAGGGGAAGAGAGAATTACAAAAGCACCACTTGCATCCACTAGCAAGCTTGGCAACACAAAAAAGATTGGCCAGATACCGATGAAGCCTAATGTTGCTAATGATGCAAAGGAATGCAAGAAGCCGAAGGCAAACCTAAGTCTGAGGGTAGTCGGTCTAACTCTCTCATCCTCTTTAACGTACCTGTGAGCACGGATAGCTTGCTCGAACAACGGGCCCTGTTTGATCAGGAACAGTGGTCCAACCTGTGCAAAACTAGGTCTGAACATTAGTTCAGCAAAACTGTGCAGACTGTACAGGGGTGTCCACACGCCTCAGGGTAAGCCACCCCCATTACGGGTTACACTGGACTCTGCCGAAGAGGCCGAAAAAGTACTAATAATGGCTCAGGTACTAGCCCTGGACAGAAGTTCTAACATAAGGGGCGGCAAGATAGACCATGGGCTATCAGAAATATGGCGAGTGGGTCTTCCACCTCTATGGTGGTACACGGTGTTCCGGAGCTGGAAACCGGCACTGCTTGTGAAAAACACATGCACGACGTACAACAATGGAGATGGCTGTCATCTCAGATGGCCCCTGGCGCTTCTGGAGCCATCTCCATTTTCCGACTACCTCGTCCCGCTCATCTAACATTGATTAACTCTCCAAAGCTGCTGTGTCACATTCAACTCCCCGGAGCAGTTGTCCATATCACTTCAACGGTGGTATGAGACCAAGGGAAAAATTGGAGGACACATCCGATGCTGTGAAAGCAGACCCAGAAATATAAGGAGGCAGCAAACGTCCCAAAGCTTCGGTGATGCAGCTCTGAGAATAATAGTCTGTGTCTCCCAAGTGTCCTGCCTAAATCCATTGAAAAAAACTACAACGGGCCGGTTCTATCGGAATCGGCCAACTAGTTCCAACATCAAGTCCCCCACCAGCAGACGGTTTCACGTCAACTACCCCACAACACTCTGAGGTTGTTAGACTCACTGTCAGTTGCCTATATAGCAATGTGAGGGGGCTGAGAGGAAAAGTAGGTGAACTCCGAAATCTCCAAGCACACCTTCAACTGAAAATAATCATTCTCACTGAAACGTGGCTAAACCCCACTATCGCCGACAATGAAATCAGTATAGGTGATATGGTACTGGTCAGGAGAGACAGGGATAATAAGGAAGGAGGGGGAGTTGCTATATACTTTGATAGGCAACTTAAATGTGTGCGCGCAACGGACCCACCACTTATCGAACTCCCAGACTCCATATGGTGTCATTTCACCGTAGGCCACACCAAGCACTTACTGGGTGGCATCTACCGATCTCCCACCTGTGGGGCAGAGCACAATCAGCTACTGCTCAGCACTATCACAGGAATACGAGATTTGGGCTACGACCAAATCACCATAGCTGGAGATTTCAATGCTCCATCACTGAACCTTGGCTCCGGGTGTGCTAAGGGAAAATTTGGCCGAAACCTACTGCAAACTATTCGAAACACGGGACTGACTGAGAATGTTGGAGACGACACTAGGTGGGGCCCTAGTGGAAAGTCATCAAAACTAGATTATATTCTAACTAGTGACCAGCTACTCGTCGAAAAGGTCCAGATCATGACTCCTCTGGGAAGCAGTGACCATGCAGTCATAGGTTTCGATCTTGTCCTCCGTGAGCGTTTGCAATGGGATGTTACGCGACCATGTCTGTGCTACAGCAAGGCTGACTATGCTGAAATGCGGAGGCTCTTGTCCGACGCAGACTGGCCCTTAGCATGGGACGACCTATCTGTGGATGAACACTGGGAAGTGGTAAAAAAGATTATCCATACAGCAATCTCGGATACCGTCCCTTTAGTCACAACACAGCCTAAGAGAAAGACGTCATGGTTGAAGAGAGGCACGCAACGTATTCTGCAAGCAAAGCGGAAGGCTTGGTTTACGTGGCGTGTATCTAAGAGTCAGACCGACCATGATGCATACCTCGAACTCAGGAACCGGTGTAATGCAAGAGTCAGGAGGGACAGAAGGTCATTCCAGGCTAACCTTGCTAAAAAACTCCTATCAAACCCTAAAAACTTGTACCGATTCATGTCGGAAAGAAAACCGACAAACCAAGGGGCATGCGCCTTAGTAGGCCCAAACGGTCAATATCTCACTAGTCTGGAGATGGCTGAAACATTCAGTTCAGCCTTCGCTAAACAGCTAAACAGCAATGTGGATATTACAGTTACGGACCAAAATGGTGGCACCACTATTTCAGAGGAGGAAGACCTAGCGACTACTCCCCAAATAAACCCCGCAATAGTACTAAGGAAGCTACAGCGACTCATACCTGGGAAGTCCCCAGGTTGTGATGACATCAGGCCATCTGTTCTGAAACAGTGCGCCGAGGCTCTCTGTAGACCCCTGTGCGACTTGTTCCAACACTCAATGGATTCGGAGAGACTGCCAAGGGAGTGAAAAAGAGTCATCCTTTCTCCAATCTTCAACGGTGGGGATAGGCAAAATGCCAGTGTGGTGAGAGCAGGCCGTGAGAAAATATGAGCAAGGCTGATTCAACAACCAATCACAGCAAAGTTAACGTGGCAAAATATGATTCGCAGATAGAGAACTCTATTTGTCGAGGAATCCCGAAACAACCAATCATAAGCCTGCGTTTGTCTGCCTAACTTCTGATAAACAACCAATCAGATAACTGCGCTTGTCTACTTGCATAAGCTATAATAATGTATGTGAAATATGTATAAATACGTGTTGATTTTCATAATAAAACGATCTGTTGCCTGGCCCTTGTCTTCTTTGTTGTTACACCAGTAGTTATAGACCAGTAGCTCTACTCCCAGAGGTGTCAAAAGTACTGGAAAGTATTATTGACGACCACATCATGGAATATTTCGATAGGTGTAATATACTCCATGAAGCCCGACATGGTTTCAGAAAAGGCGGATCCTGCGTTACTAACCTATTGTAAGCTTGGGACGACTGGACATCATGCTGGGATATGAATGTACCAGTCCATGTGGTCTTCCTAGACTTTGAGAAGGCATTTGACACCGTTCACCATGACCTTCTCCTACGTAAAATAAGCCAGGCAGGCATAGGTGATCCACTTCTGTCATGGTTAAAGGACTACCTAGTCGAAAGGCTATTTTGCACCAAGGTTAACCGAGTCCGATCATCTTGGCACAGGTCGTCATCAGGAGTGTCGCAGGGTTCTACCCTGGTACCACTGATGTTTTTGATTTTTATCAATGATCTACCACGCCGTCTAAGCTGCCCGACTCCCCTATACGCCGACGACGTAAAGATATGGAGGGCGATAAAGTGTCCGGAGGACTCAGATAGGCTGCAGGAAGATCTATAGCTTCTGGAAGAATGGGTGGTGGCCAGGGGCATGACTTTCAACCTGAAAAACTGCAAGGTAGTGAAGTTGCGCACCTGTAGACTGCAGAACGCAAGTTACACCCTGTGCAATGAAAGCTCGTCCTGCACAACGTCGGAACGCGACTTAGGTCTAGTTCTAACGGAAAAAATGGACACGGGGGTAAATTGCATGGGGGATGTAGCGAGGGCATATGCGGTCATACACTTTACACATAGACAGTTAGGTGCACTCACTCCTGAGCTCTTTCTAAGATTGTACAAAACATGTGTCAGGCCACACCTTGAGGTGCATAATATTATTGCACCCCCAATGCTTAGAAGAGACGCCAACCTCTTGGAAAGAGTCCAACGACGGTCAACAAAAGGAGTAGCTGGTATCCGAAATAAACCATATGATGAAAGGCTGAAGAAATTAGGCCTCCTCACACTTAGCTACCATCGGCTTAGGAGTGATTTGATTACTGCCTACAAAATAGCAAATGACCGGAATCACCCAAACATAGGTGTTCTGCCATTGAGTAGGTATAGGCTCCCTGGTGGTAATCCCAGGAGGATAGCTCACCAAAGGGCAAGGACCTGGGTCCGCTCCCACTTCTTTTCACTGTGGATTTGCCGTCCCTGGAATTCCTTACTGGCAGATGTAGCTATGGCACCGTCTTTGAACGCCTTCAAGTGAAGGCTGGACAACCATGCGGTGACACGAGGATTGCATCCAAATGGCCTATCCCCTTAAAATCGCATACACCAGTCAGGGGTAGGCAGTTAAACTTTTCGTGTTACTTCTTTACATTCTCTCCCGTCTTACTCTCCTGACAACTTTAACTGCACTTATTATAATTATTATTGCCGATATATATACATATATATTATTCTGCAAATTTAATCAGCTGGCTGCTGTTACGCCTTCCTGTTTCCTTTTCTGTCTGTTAGTCTGAATAACTTCAGTAATTATATCTATTATTAGCATTATTATTATTACTATCTCTTTTCTCTTGTCGACGATACCGGAGGACTAACAGGCGAAAGGATTAATTCCATTCATAGTAGTAACAGTCTTAACACACCTCATACTACAAACCACATATAATTAATCCCAGCACTACACCCTTTGGAGTCAACCAAAGCTACGACAGTCGAGTGGCGGGACG